GGTTTCCCTGAATCCCTTCACTAAATATTACCCTGCTCACACTCCAACAGCTCGTCAGGTCCCAAATACTATTTGTTTCCATTCACTCCTATCTAACAGGCTCGTGCATGCTTGCTGGAAGTCACAGCCCTTCAGCCACAAAACATCCTTTACCCCCTCCCTGCAACCTTTTCGAGGACGACCCCTACCCCGCCTTCCTTACCCTACAGATTTATACACTCCATGTCATTCTACTTTGATCCATTCTCTCTAAATGACCAAACCACCTCAACAACCCCTCTGACAATTACTTTTATTAACTCCACACCTTCTCCTAATTTCCACACTCCGAATTTTCTGCATAATATTTACACCACACACTGCCCTTAGGACATCACCACTGCCTCCTCGCTGCAGCATTTACACCCCAAGCTTCACACCCGTGTGAGAGTGTTGGTACTACTATACTTTCATAGATTTCCTTGTTTGCCTCCATAGATACCTCAATGCACCACTCACCTTTTTTCCTTCATCAGTTCTATGATTAACCTTCTCCTTCATAAATCCATCCGCCGACACGTCAACTCCCAAATATCTGAAAACATTCACTTCTTCCGTACTCCTCCCCACTTTGAAATCCAATTTTTATTTATCTAAATCATTTGATATCCTCATCACCTTATTCTTTTTTTTTGTTCACTTTCAACTTTCTACCTTTACACACACTCCCAAACTCGTCCACTGCCTTTGCAATTTTTCTTTAGAATCTCCCATAAGCACCGTATCATCAGCACAAAGCAACTGTGTCATTCCCCATTTTGTATTTGATTCCCCATAATTTAATACCACCCCTCTCCCGAACACCCTAGCATTTACTTCTTTTACAACCCCATCTATAAATATATTAAACATCTATGGTGACATTACACATCCCTGTCTAAGACCTACTTTTACCAGGAAGTAATCTTCCTCTCTTCTACACACCCTAACTTGAGCCTCACTATCCTCATAAAAACTCTTTACAGCATTTAGTAATGTACCACCTGTTCCGTATACTTGCAACATCTGCCACATTGCTCCCCTATCCACTCTATCATATGCCTTTTCTAAATCCATAAATGCAATAAAAACTTCACTACCTTTATCTAAATACTGTTCACGTATATGCTTCAATGTAAACACTTGATCTACACATCCCCTACCCACTCTGAAACTTTCTTGCTCATCCGCAATCCTACATTCTGTCTTACCTCCAAATCTTTCAATTATAACCCTACCGTACACTTTTCCTGGTATACTCAGTAAACTTATTCCTCTATAATTTTTACTATCTCTTTTGTCCCCCTTCCCTTTATATAAAGGGACTATACACCCTCTCTGCCAATCCCTAGTTACCTTCCCCTCTTTCATACATTTATTAAACGAAAGTACCAACCACTCCAACACTGTATCCCTCCCTGCTTTTAACATTTCTGTCATGATCCTCTCAGCTCTAGCTGCTTTACCCCCTTCATTCTACGTAATGCCTCTCGTACCTCCCCCACACTTATATTCTGCTCTTCTTCACTCCTAAAAGATGGTATACCTCCCTGGCCAGTGCATGAAATTACCGCCTCCCTTTCTTCCTCAACATTTAAAAGTTCCTCAAAATATTCTTGCCATCTACCTAATACCTCCATCTCCCCATCTACTAACTCCCCTACTCTGTTTTTAACTGACAAATCCATATGTTCTTTAGGCTTTCTTAACTTGCTTAACTCGCTCCAAAAATTTTTCTTATTTTCATTAAAATTTCTTGACAGTGCCTCTCCCACTCTATCATCTGCTCTCCTTTTACACTCTCTCACCACTCTCTTCACCTTTTTTTTTTTACTCTCCATATCCTCTGCTCTTCTTATAACACTTCTGCTTTGTAAAAACCTCTCATAAGCTAACTTTTTCTCTTTTATCACACCCTTTACTTCATCATTCCATCAGTAAACTTAATCCTCTATAATCTTTACAATCTCTTTTGTCCCTCTTTTCTTTATATAAAGGGGCTATACATGCTCTCTGCCAATCCCTAGGTATCTTCCCCTCTTTCATACATAATTTTTTTTTTCTACCTTTCCCTCTTTCATACATTTTTTTTTTTTTTCAACATGTCGGCCGTCTCCCACCGAGGCAGGGTGACCCAAAGAGAAAGAAAATCCCCAAAAAGAAAATACTTTCATTATTCAACACTTTCACCTCACTCACACATAATCACTGTTTTTGCAGAGGTGCTCAGAACACAACAGTTTAGAAGCATATAAGTATAAAGATTCACAACATATCATACATTTATTAAACAAAAATACCAACCACTCCAACACTATATCCCCTCCCTGCTTTTAACATTTCTGTCATGTTCCCGTCAGTTTCAGCTACTTTACCCCCTTTCATTCTACATAATGCGTCAACCCTCCCCCACACTCACATCCTGCTGTTCTTCACTGCTAAAAGATGGTATACCTCCCTGGCCGGTGCATGAAATTACCGCCTCAATTTCTTCTTTAACTCGCTCCAAAATTTTTTCTTATTTTCATTTTCATCTGCTCTCCTTTTGCAGTCTCTCACCACACTGTTCACCTTTCTTTTACTCTTCATATACTCTACTCTTCTTATAACACTTCTGCTTTGTAAAGACCTCTCATAAGCTAACTTTTTCTCTTTTATCATACACTTCATAATTCTACCAGTCACTCCTCTTTCCTCCTGCATCCACCCTCCTATAACCACAAACTTCTACCCCACTTTCTAATACTGCATTTTGAAAACTATTCCAACTCTCTTCATCCCCCTCCCACTACTGATACTTACACCAGCCCACCTTTCTGCCAATATTTGCTTATATCTCACCCGAACTTCCTCCTAACTTAGTTTATACACTTTCACCTCCCTCTTACTTGTTGTTGCCATTTTCCTCTTTTCCCATGTATCTCTTACTCTAAATGTAGCTACAACTAAATAATGATCTGATATATCAGTTGCTCCTCTATAAACTTGGACATCCTGGAGCCTACTCATCAACCTTTTATCCACCAATACATAATTTAACAAACTACTATCATTACATGCTTAATCATACCTTGTATATTTATTTATCCAATTTTTCATAAAATATGTATTATTTATTACCAAACCTCTTTCTACACATAGCTCAATTAAAGGCTCCCCATTTTCATTTACCCCTGACACCCCAAATTTACCTACTACTCCCTCCACAACATTTTTGCCCACTTTAGCATTGAAATCCCCATCCATTACTCTCACACTTGGTTCAAAACTCCCCATGCATTCACTCAACATTTCCCAAAATCTCTCTCTCTCCTCGACACTTCTCTCTTCTCCAGGTGCGTATACACTTACTATAACCCACTTTTCACATCCAACCTTTATTTTACTCTTCATAATCCTTAAATTAATACATTTATAGTCCCTCTTTTCGTGCCATAGCTTATCCTTCAACAATATTGCTACTCCTTCTTTAGCTCTAACTCTATTTGAAACCCCTGACCTAATCCCATTTATTCCTCTCCACTGAAACTCTCCCACCCCCTACAGCTTTGTTTCACTTAAAGCCAGGACATCCAGCTTCTTCTCATTCATAACATCCACAGTCATCTCTTTCTTGTCATTTGCACAACATCCTCGCACATTCAGACTTCCCAATTTGACAATTTTCCTCTTTTTAGTAATTATTACAGGAAAAGTGGTTACTAGCCCATTGTTCTCGGATTTTAGTTGACTTTTACAACACGCTTGGCTTACGGAGGAAAGATTCTTATCTTATAGAAAGGAAATGGGGCTCATTAAAATAAATTCATTAAAGAGGGAGGCATCTGTAATTACAAGGAAGATGATCACAGTTATTCATCCAACAATTCTGAGGCAAGTGCTAGTTCGACCGTCAGAAACTGCAGGAAAAGTAGGCCCTAATTCCTCTATGTGGCACTACATTTAAGACAATCTAATACATTCGTGTAAGAGCCCAATTTTTGACTGTGTACTATTGCCTCAACTAAACACACGTCTAATTTGAACAACCTGTCTCTGATATTGTATAATGAGTGCTTATCATGCTTAATAATTGCCTATTCTACAATATTCCTTTCAAGCCAAGAGGAACAAGGGAAGATGACTCTTCTTGCTAATTTGCCGGGTTATTACAAGCTCTAATATGGTTAAAAATTGCATTCGACTCCTATGCTATACGAATCGAATAACGGTGTCGTGAAATTCTCACTTCTAATTGTTTTCCCTTTCTCAAATAAGAGAGACGGTAGCTGTTGCAACTAATTCTGTCGACACCACCAGCACGCTATTGGGGCGAATTCTTTATCAGAATGCTTTTAACAGTCCATGAATTTTTAAATACTACTTGTATCACTTGGTTTGCAATATATGCATAATTGATACCTTTATTGCAGCCCATCCTCCTAGGTAGCAATTGTAATTCTGGCTGTTTATAAACAGTGGGTTTTCTTAAATAGAATTTTTATCTATTTCTTTTCAAAAGAAAATTTGTTAGGCTTGATGTAGTTAGATTAGTGTGCTTTGTGCCACTTCCTCACCCTGTTTGCTGATAGGAAAGCTAGTGATAGAAGAACAGCTCCCAATTTCATTGTTTATTTATTCTAGTTAAGCATACTAGTATATTGGAGACTGTCATCACCTGTATAGTTAATGATGATGCAGTGTGTGGACCCTTCTGGCTTTAGATTTTTTCAAATGTATGACTACATTTTAGAAGAACTAGAGAGTTGTGATGAGGTCAGAAATATTGGCAGATGACAGATTTAAAGGTACAAAAAATTGTGCATGTTAGTATGTAGCTTATTTTTATCTTTATGATTGTTTTTTATATTGTTTTGCACAAAATATTTTAAGATGTGTTCTTCCCTATCTTGTTTGTTCGTTATCTGAATTTACTTAATTTGGTATTCATTTACATGGCTTTACAAGATAGTTAACCACCTTCAATATTTTGTCTTTTGCAGGGCAATAAGACAGTAAGCAATGATCACACAACAGTGAAGAAGACCAATATAAAAAGTAGCTGTGGGTTGGGTTCAGGTAATAACCTGGTGAGTGGGCCTGGTAATGTGCCAAATAAAACCTCGCCCATGTTCGGCCATCAGCTAAAGCGTCCACACTCAGGCCCAACTCAGGGCCACACCCACTCTCATGCCCAACCACCTGTGAAGAAACCAAAGCTAGGGTACCTGAAGGATATGAGTGCTGCCGAAGCCGGCAAGTACGCAACTCTAGCAGAATATGCCTTCTTCGATAAGGTATAGTTTTCATGACGTAATTTGAATTACTGCACTTCTATATGCATTCTTGAGGTAATGAAAATTAATTAGTTGATTGATTAAAGAGTTATACTTGTCTTTGGAGATTTATCCCTTCATTATCAGAAGCCCCAAAATTAAAAGTGATAACTGTGTTGGCAATTTTTTTTTTTTAATCTGAAATGGTAGAAAATCTTTGTGTGAAGATAATGACACCAAAAGGCATATGATAGATTGGATAGGGGAGCAATGTGGCAGATGTTGCAAGTACGTATATGGAATAGGTAGTAAATTATTAAATGCTGTAAAGTGTTTTTATGAGGATAGTGAGGCTCAGGTTAGGCTGAGTAGAAGAGAGGGAGATTCCTTCCCAGTAAAAGGTCTTAGGGATGTGTAATGTCACCATGGTTATTTAATACAGTGGAACCTCTACTTACGAGTTTAATCCGTTCCGTGACCTTGCTTGCAACTGGATTTGCTCGTTTGCAGAGTCAATTTTCCTCATTTAAATTAATTGAAATGGAATTAATTCGTTCCAGTGGAATTCCAGGCACGAGAAAATACTTTAATGATTTCCATAATATCAACTCTACAGCATATTTATCTATCACAATTCATGTAATATGACATAAAGAATATTAATAACATAGAAACATGATATATACACTAGAATGAATAAAATACATGTCATTAGGTAAGTGGCTAGTGGTGGTGAAAGCAGCCATTCTGGTTAGGGTTTATAGGGCCACCACAGCGGCCATTCCTGCTCTTGACGACATGTGTAGAGAACCTAGGATAACCCAGAAAAGTCAGACAGAGTGACTTATAAGTGCTACACTCTTAATGCTACACTTTGCCATTGCTGCTTCATGTTGTCTGCCACTGCTATCATGATGTCTGCCACTGCTATCATGATGTCTGCCACTGCTGCTTCATGTTGTCTACCACTGCTGCTTCATGTTGTCTGTCACTGCTGCTTCATGTCTGTCACTCCTGCTTCATGTTGTCTGTCACTCCTGCTTCATGTTGTCTGTCACTACTGCTTCATGTTGTCTGCCACTGCTACCTCATGTTGTCTGCCACTGCTGCTTCATGTTGTCTGCCACTGCTACCTCATGATGTCTGCCACTGCTGCTTCATGTTGTCTGCCACTGCTACCTCATGATGTCTGCCACTGCTACCTCATGATGTCTGCCACTGTTGGTTCATGTTGTTTGCCACTGCTACCTCATGATGTCTGCCACTGCTACCTCATGATGTCTGCCACTGCTGCTTCATGTTGTCTGCCACTGCTACCTCATGATGTCTGCCACTGTTGTTTCATGTTGTCTGCCACTGCTACCTCATGATGTCTGCCACTGTTGCTTCATGTTGTCTGCCACTGCTGCTTCATGTTGTCTGCCACTGCTACCTCATGATGTCTACCACTGATGTCACCAAAGAATCAAACATTTCTGCTATTTTGAGCTTAATTTCAAGGTACTTTTCATCGTGAAACCAATTAAAATCATATTTATTTTTGTAGTATATCTTCCATTTTATCACATGAGACCAAATAAAACGAGAATACAACCATAACAACCATACGAAAATATACTGCTAAGGGGACGCTGATGGCTGAGAAGTGAATTCCGTTATTTATGGTCCGATTTTTTTCATTTTTGGTGTACGTTAAGAAGCATCTTTTCATCATACATTGCCCAAGTTTCAATAAGATAGTCCAACAAACAACTTAGATCCAAATCCCTAGATCAAGAGCAAGAGCCTTCTCACCAGTGTCAATTAACCTCCCTTGAGGCCCGCTCACATCTGGAAATTTTGCTTGCATATGGAAGCAAAAAATCGACCACGCAGCTACTCGTATCTGGAAAAACTCACACGTGGATGCACTCGTAAGTAGAGGTTCCACTGTATATTTATAGATGGGGTTGTAAAAGAAGTAAATGCTAGGGTGTTGGGGAGAGGGGTGGGATTAAATTATGGGGAATCAATACAAAATGGGAGTTGAGAGTTACTCTTTGCTGATGATACTGTGCTTATGGGAGATTCTAAAGAAAAATTGCAAAGGTTAGTGGATGAGTTTGGGAATGTGTGTAAAGGTAGAAAGTTGAAAGTGAACATAGAAAAGAGTAAGGTGATGAGGGTGTCAAATGATTTGGATAAAGAAAAATTGGATATCAAATTGGGGAGGAGGAGTATGGAAGAAGTGAATGTTTTCAGATACTTGGGAGTTGACGTGTCGGCGGATGGATTTATGAAGGATGAGGTTAATCATAGAATTGATGAGGGAAAAAGGTGAGTGGTGCGTTGAGGTATATGTGGAGTCAAAAAAACGTTATCTATGGAGGCAAAGAAGGGTATGTATGAAAGTATAGTAGTACCAACACTCTTATATGGGTGTGAAGCTTGGGTGGTAAATGCAGCAGCGAGGAGACGGTTGGAGGCAGTGGAGATGTCCTGTTTAAGGGCAATGTGTGGTGTAAATATTATGCAGAAAATTCGGAGTGTGGAAATTAGGAGAAGGTGTGGAGTTAATAAAAGTATTAGTCAGAGGGCAGAGGAGGGGTTGTTGAGGTGGTTTGGTCATTTAGAGAGAATGGATCAAAGTAGAATGACATGGAAAGCATATAAATCTATAGGGGAAGGAGGCGGGGTAGGGGTCGTCCTCGAAAGGGTTGGGAGAGAGGGGGTAAAGGAGGTTTTGTGGGTAAGGGCTTGGACTTCCAGCAAGCGTGCGTGAGCGTGTTAGATAGGAGTGAATGGAGACGAATGGTATTTTTGGACCTGACGATCTGTTGGATTTGTGAGCGGGGTAATATTTAGTGAAGGGATTCAGGGAAACCGGTTATTTTCATATAGTGGGACTTGAGTCCTGGAAATGGGAAGTACAATGCCTGCACTTTAAAGGAGGGGTTTGGGATATTGGCAGTTTTGGAGGGGTATGTTGTGTATCTTTATATGTGTAAAGCTTCTAGACTGTTGTATTCTGAGCACCTCGCAAAAACAGTGATAATGTCGAGTGTGGTGAAAGTGTTGAATGATGAGAAAGTTTTTTTCTTTTTGGGGATTTCTTTCTTTTTTGGGTCACCCTGCCTCGGTGGGAGACGGCCGACTTGTTGAAAAAAAAAAAAAAAATTATATATATATTTTATATATATTAATATATATATAAAAACACACACACACACACACACACACACACACACACCCCACACACACACACACAACACACACACACACACACACACAACACACACACACACAAAAACACACACACACACACACACACAACACACACACACACACACAACACACACACCCACACACACACACAACACACACACACACAACACACACACACACCCCACAACACACCACCACCCACCACCACACCACCACCACCACACACCACCACCACACCACACCACCACCACCACCTAACCACCACACTACCAAACCCACCTACCTACCACCTTACCTACCTACCTACCCTACCTACCTACCTACCTACCTACCTACCTACCTACCTACCTACCTACCTACCTACCTACCTACCTACCTACCTACCTACCTACCTACCTACCTACCTACCTACCTACCTACCTACCTACCTGTCGACTGTTTCCCACCAAGGCAAGGTGACCCAAAAAGAAAAGAAAAAATGCTGTATCGGAAATGAGAAAGAGATCAAGGGCAAGTACTGTCTTGAGGAACGGAGCACTTTCATAGTCATTCGACACTTTCACCAACATTCGTACTTTTTTTAGTAGTTCGTCTGGTTCTCGAACCCCGGACCTCAGTTGTGAGAGGCCTGACTCTCACCACTGGGCTACACTTTTGAAAATAAGCCACTGGGCAGGGGGCAGTGCTCTGTGGCTAAAGCTCTCACTTCACACGGCGAGTATAGAAACGTTGGGCGTGTTTCCTTACACTGGATGTGTATGTTCCCCATCAGTTAATGGGTATCTGGGTGTTAGTTGACTGGTGTGGGTCGCATCCTGGGAGAAAACTGACCTAATTTGCCCGAAATGCTCTGCATAAGAAGCAGCTTTCTTTATAGTAGTGTGTCATTGATGTCAGCTAGGCCTGTATACCTTGTACATGTACTTGTAGAAATGAAGAAATCATTATTATTATTATTATTATTATTATTATTATTATTATAACACACTAGCCATCTCCCACTGAGGCAGGGTAACCTGAAAAAGAAATACTTTCACCATCATACATATTAACACCATCTTGTCAGATGTGTGCATATACAATGGTTCAGATGGCCCTCCAAACAGCAAATATCCCCATCCCCTCCTTTATAGTGCAGGCAGTTTACTTCCTACTTCCAGGACTCAAGTCTGGCTTACTAGTTACCCCGAATCCCTTCACAAAATGTTAAACTGCTCATTTGGTCCCAAAAGCCATTTGAAATTGGACACAAAAACTTTTGTTAAGTAAATAAATAATTTATTCAGGGATCTTAGTAAATTTTATACAAGTTAAAATAAATAAATAAATAACAAAAAGGCACAATACCGTGACTGGAACGATACACAAATAACCCGCACATAAAAGACAGAAGCTTACGACGACGTTTTGGTCCGACTTGGACCATTGACAAAGTCACACTAACAGAGGAGGAGCAGGACGGCTATATATAGGCAGGAAGAGGTGGAGGTAGTAGTAGTGGTAGTAGTAGTAGTACAAGAATTGTATATAATACCGACAGGATGAAATGACACATGCACAACACCCGGGCATCCCCACCGTAGACGTTTCGCCATCCAGCCAGCCACTGGATGGCGAAACGTCCACAACAAAGACAACCAGACGCCGCACATGTGTCTAATTTCATCAGTAGATGTAGTGGAAGAAGAAGAGGTAGTAGTAGTGGTAGTGGTAGAAGTGGGAAATAAGGAAGACGAGCCAGTCAAATACAAAGGAAGGGGAGCACTGCAAGAGAGCTAGAAACCCACAGAGGGAGAGCAAGCGCACAGAGGTGCGTGAAAGTTTTGATTAACCTCCAGGCTCATTTCTTAACCCTTTTAGTGTCTATTGTGTAGATGTGCATCATTGAGGCCAATACCACTTTTGTAGATCTGTATTTTAATTGTACCACACTCAAATATATTTTGAGCAGTAAATTTTGCCTTGAGATGTGAGAATGAGTCTATGAAGTGCATGTGCACAGTAAAAAATTAACCTTCCCCATGTAATGTAAGAAGGGAATAGCTAAACCTTGTCCTTGTGTTTGCATTAATAATAGCAAATTTGAGGTGTTTCTAGGGTGGTTTTATTGGCTGTTTGTTGGTGTCATTTTTGTAGACTAGAAGACATGCTAGTGAAATGGAGATGATTTTTTTGGTTTCAGACCTGAGTGACCTGAAATATGCCCCAAAGTAGCAGAAACATATATTTTTTGATGGTTTTCCTGAGGAAGGGTTAGGCCTCTTCCTCTGCAATCTGTATTATGGGTTTTACTAGGTTTGCTTCAATTATTTGGACAGCCTTAATTAACTATGACCAGTTAATTTTTGATATTATTTCCTTAGAAATAGGGTAAAACTTAAACATTTTTGTGTGATGACGGATGGACCTAGGGACATAATTAATAGAGGAAAGGTTGCTTTAGTGGCCGGATTGCTAACTGTTTATTTTGTTGAATTTTGTGTAAAATTGCCGAAGTCTGGGCAGTTTATGGGGTAATTCCGATACTTCAGTGGACAGTTTCTCGTGCTCAATCAATAGAATGGAAGTCATACTAGGAAAACAGTCAGGAACCGGGTCACTTGGAACTATGAAATTGGCCTAAAACAGACCTCAAAATTTGGCAAAATAACAAGTTACTTAAAATGCTCCCTGACTAACTTCGTGCTTACATAATTCAGTAAGTTTTCAGTCAAATTTCACATTCTTGGAGCCATTATGGTTAGGGAAAGATTTTCTACCATTTTAAGAGATAAAATTATTTGTTTAATTTGCGACATTTGGGGAAGTTTTTGTTTTAGGGGTTGTGACAATGAAAGGTTTAAAAGAATTCTTTAAAGAATATAATTTAAAACTTGTTCAGGGACAATGTGCTGTACTAAAAACATGCAGTAGAGGAAGTTGTGTGTGAGTTAAGGACCAGTACTCATTTGAATTAATGGACTATGGAAATAAAGAACAGAATTGATTCTAAGACATCATCATTGATTACAAAATTGTACATTGCTACAATCAAAGCAAAAACAGTTGGATCCCTATTTCTCATATTCGTCATTAGTGGCCTTCCATTCCACTTGCTAGTAATTCATTAAATCGAGGGTTTTCTGTATTTTATATATAATAGTATGCTGTAAATTAGTTTTCATTTTGTTCGAAAAAATTACTTCGTTTTTGTTTAATTTCCTTAATTTTCCTTAAGGTTCGGAAAGCTTTACGTCATGAAGAAACCTACCACAATTTCCTAAGATGTATCACATTGTATAATGAAGAAATAATTACCCGTTCTGAGTTGGTTCAACTAGTCCATCCCTTTCTCGCCAAGTTCCCCGATCTTCTTAAGTGGTTTAAGGTTTGTATGTACAGTTCCTACAGTAATTGCTTTAGATATATGAATTATTCCACATGAAGGTTAACTGAACAACATACTGAGTAAATGAGGTTAATAATTAATGCTTGTATTCTGCATTATATAAGATCATAAGAATTGAGAGTGAGTGAGTTTTGAATTGGTGCTTTTTCTTATCTTCCCCTGATGCTGGAAGATTGAAAATCAGTTCAATATTTTGTTCTGCTAGAAACTGATATTTTGACTTGTTAAATGATTATTGCTCAGAGAGTTAATCATGCACTATGATCAAAAGGTGAACTCATGCTTTTTATTTGTGGTATAATTATTATTGTTTAAAATATATTAAAACTAAATTTATCAGTTGTATACTACAACAAGTATGTAAGAAATAAGTGATATTAGGCACTTGACAAATAATTTATCAGTTTAATGCATCTTATTAATATTGATTATGAAATGGCAGCTACATTAGTGTTGTCATCATACATTTCAGACTTACCTTATAGCCACCTTGAAATGCTACCATTTTTTATGCAGCAACCTAGTGTTGTGTTGAAAATGTCTTCATGTGCTACTTATTTCATATATTTTTTACAATTAACAATACTAAGAGAATATAAAAAAAAAATTATTTTTGTCTCTTGAAATTATAATAGAGAGTATTAGCAAATACAATAGGTCCCCTACTTGTGACGCTAATGCATTGTTCAGAATCCATCATAGGTTGTCTGTTGGGAAACTGTTTTTCCATAGGTACCCAAGTTATCATCGGAGGTGTATTCTTGAGCCTTAATATTCCATATCTAATTTCATTTAATTATATACCAAGAATATATATTCAATATTTTACATTTTGTACTGTTGTTTTTCATTTACAAAAAATAATAACTATTATTTAAATATTTTATGGGATTTAGAATACTTTAGAATTTTTTTAAACTCAACTGCTGTCTCCCACCATCATTCATTCAGTTGCTGTCTTTCCAAAAGTGTGCTAACATTGCATTCAAATTACCCTTCATTTGCAACATCCCCACCCCTTCTCACAGTGCAAGGACAGCCCAGTAGGTCATCGTGTTGTAAAAGGCAGTTAAAATGCCAGAGCAAAGCCTAATAACCCCAACTGTAATCGGTTACTGAAAAATCAAAGAAAAATTTTGAAACCAAGAAAAAGTGTGTGGTAATCCAAGATTCTGTCTGGCTAGGTGTTCATTTTCTTTGACTTAGTGCAAGACACTTAAATTGAAAACCAACCATAAGATTTTGTTCAAAATATGCTCACTGGTTTTCCCCACATTCAGATTGATTTATTGATTTGTTCTTATAAATGTCAACATAAAGAAATTTAGAGTGAGGTATGTAAAGAGACTTAAAAATCATGTGCATTTGTGAATACATATCCTTCCATCCCCTAGTTTCCACTGTGTGTTGGTGTAACAAAGTTTTGTCTGGTGCCCATTTTTGACTTCGTGCAACACACACATTGAAAACAACTATAGGATTTTGTTCTAAATATACTCATTGGATATTCCAGGCCTCATTCTGCTTCATTCATTGTCATCATTCTTTATGAATGCCAGAATCAACCAGTTTAGAGAGAAATTGTTCCTTGCGTCATAACATTGAGTTCATGTTTACAAGTCATTAATTGAGTCCAAAGCAGAACATTGTATGTCATCGACTTCCTATGTAGACTTTCCCTTTTCTCCAGGTTGTCATAGTTCCACATTACCTTTATAAGTACAGTACAGTGTTAATGCACTCTAGAAGTCAGTTGTTCAGATCTCATAGCCTATTTTCTCATTGACAGCCATGTTATAATCTGACATTCCTTCCTGAAGTATGATATTCCATGTATATAATTTATGTGTTTTAACTATGAATATTTACCCAATATTTTACATTCATTTTTTTTTTCACTTGCAAGTAATAGCAAACATGAATTAATACAATACAGATGTGTAGGGCAGGCAGTATATTGGATTGTCACAGAGAGACTGGTATAGAGGAGGTGGCAGGGGCTTGGGGTTGGGGAAATAGGGGGTAAGAGTGGGTAGGAATGTGTCATACTTGGGCTGTCCATTCTTCTAATAAATTCAATGTGTGTGTGTCAAATGGGCAGCAAGGAGGGAAGAAGGTGGTGTGAGCAGAGATGCATCATGCTCCAGGTAGGTAGACTCATTGACATCACAAACTGCTATACATGATCGCTGAGAGACATCCAAATTGAAAACCAGCTGTGGGATTTCGTCTTTCTTGTTAATATCGATGTAAACTAGTTTAAATCGTACTGTGGTTTATATTTAAAGAGATAATGTTAAAAAATAGTTATTGTTCATAAATCATTTATTGATTCCAAAGTGCCAACATCATTAGGCAAAATGTTGTAAGTAGGGGACTTACTGTATCTCCTTGAAATACATTACTACACATTCCAATTTTGCATATAAATATGCAATACAATAAATATTTGTTTACCAAAAACGGCAGCAGGTGGGTTCATTTCGGGTGGGTTAACATATGCATTGAAACCCTGTTCATCCAGATTAGTAGGTACTTATGGAAGAATGTCTATCTGATACTTGCGTATGTAAGATATTAACTTCATAATCATTGTGACAAGGAAATCTGCTTGCATTTACCACATAAGGTCACTCAACCAGTCTGTCTCTGTTAGTAGTGCCAGATTCATTGTTCCCCCAAAATCCTTATTTCTTTGTTTTACATTTTAATGCCATAAATTGCTGATTACCCAAAGATGGATTTTTTGTTGCTCTGCTTTGTCCTTAATACCTGAAACTTGATGTTTTTAACAATTGCTACACTTTTATCCTTTAGTGTACATACTACAATGGTCATGGTAATGCTTCATATTCAAAACATGACCTTCCCCTTCATCTTTTTATTCCTGATATGCCCATAACTACACATAATTATTATTATATTAGCAGGAAAGTGCTAAACCTGTAAGGTTCCTGCAGCATCTTAGGAATGGGAAGTAATCAGGTTTGATCTAAGGAAGATGTGGGTAGCTTCATCTCCTTGGTTCAAGAGCCCTTAAGCCCATCCTGCTACACAGGATGTTTTATTACTTGTTTTCCTCACTAGGGGTTTAAGCAGTCCACTGAATTTATGAAGTCTCTAAAATATCACAAATTTTACACACAGGTGTCGAGTCCCATAATTTGCCGATAATAATATTCGTAATACTTTTACGCTAATCAACATTGTATTCCAATTGGTATTTTGTTTTTCTTCATTGGCCATCTGAATGGTATATAAACCTTATAAAAATATGATAGGCTTTCAAAGATAAGCCATTAATGAGAGGAATGAATGAAATGCAGAATTTAGATAGATTTGATATGATGGCATATGGAAGAGTTATGGAAAGACACCATGGTGGGAGAGTGTAACTAATGGAGTCTCATAAGGATCAGTGTTGAGCCCATGTTATTCTAGTGTACATAAGTTTTCTGGTAACCGAAGTTAAAGTGGATGGTGTAACAAAAAACAGTAGAATTAGATGATAGAAATACCTGGAAAGGCTTCTGGAATTGTTATGGTTAATTACTGTTTGGAGTGACAACTAAACTGTTGTATCTGAGTACCTCTGCAAAGACAGTGATTATGTATAAATGATGGTGAAAGTGTTGAACGTTGATAAAAAAATATTTTTCCTTCTTTTTGGATCACCCTGCCTTGGTGGGAAATGGCTGATGTGTTAAAAAAAAAAAAAAAAAAGTTTCTTACAACAGCAGAATTATAAATCTAGGAAACAGAATGGAACAATGAAGGTAGACTTCCTGTAGGTGGAATTGCTCACAAAATAAGTGTATAAAAGTCCAGGAATAATTAATAATTATTTCAACTTGAACCTCTGAGAGGCACACAAACAGAATACCATGAAGAGCATAAGCTAACAAATGAGGGGCATTTTGAAATTTGAACTGAACAAAGAGATGATCCAAATTGTATATTGTGTGTGTGCGCGCATTTTCTTTCTTCATATGGTGTCATTATGGAACTGCCATCTGGTAAAATATAAAAAATAAGCCAATTATCTGTACTGGTACTTAAAATACATGTGACGGGATACGAGTTAGTAGGTTGAAATTTTAGAGGGAGGGTAACCAGAGCGAGTTGGCAGTTCTACTCCTTATTCTCACAAACTCGTAGATAATTACAGTTTTAAGCATTCTTACTCTCTTTAAAACAAGATACACTGGCAACCACCATAAGTTTCCCTGCCATCATTAAGAGTTCATATAACACCCAAGCAAAGACTAACATGTCTTCACAACTTTCTGAGAAACATACCCAGTGGGCTATCTCCAGTAAGAAGTTCTGGGACACTTTGGTTAGTTCTGCAAAATGGGGATGCAAATTTACTGTGTGCAAAAAACATTGTATTGGGTAATATGTATTAATTAGTCATAAAGAAGTGATTATGTATGAGTGAGGTGAAAGTGTTGAATGATGATGAAAGTATTTTATTTTTTGGGATTTTTTTTTTTTTTGTGGTCACCCTGCATCGGTGGGAGACAGCCAACTTGTTAAAAAAAAAAAAAAAAAACATCAACTTCTAAATTAAATTATGAACTTAACCAGATTTCTGGAATATGCCTGCAAACATTAAGAAAATTTAATCCCTGACAGTAGATATCTTCTGTAGGTTGAACTGCAATCCCTTCATTCATCCCTCTTCCTTTATTGTGTTAATTATAACTTGCGGGCTTAGGGTTGTCCTCGAAAAGGTTGGAGGGAGGGGGTAAAGGAGGTGTTATGGGCAAGGGGTTTGGACTTCCAGCATGCGTGCGTGAGCGTGTTAGATAGGAGTGTTTGGAGACAAATGGTATTTGGGACTTGACGAGCTGTTGGAGTGTGAGCAGGGTAATATTTAATGAAGGGATTCAGGGAAACCGGTTACTTTATACAACCGGGCTTGAGTCCTGGAAATGGGAAGTACAGTGCCTGCACTCTAAAGGAGGGGTTTGAGA